ATTTATAATTTTATATATATACAAAAATAATTTGCCACCCCCAAAATTTTTATTTAAGTTCTACCATTGCTGCTCCCCACTTTTAAATTAAACAATATCTTAAAGATCTATAATACATAGATCATGACATTAATACACTAATTAATTTAAATTACAATATATACTCATTATAATAAAATTAATTATTATACTACTATTACATTATTTTTAGTAAAATTGGGCTTAAATTGTTTAAGGTCATGATTCAAGTTTTGTAGATAAAAAAAAATATAATTAAAGAAAGCCATACTAAATGCGGTCAATTAAATTCGCAATATAAATTAACCATTGACAAAGATATTAGATATTTTATATTAATAACATGGTTAAAATAACACAATTACTATAAATATGTATTTTAAACTAGGAATTAGTAAGATTTGATTCGTCTACAGACTCAACTTGGTCTCTTGTTCATTTGAATGGGCTCAGGTCTTAAAATTAGACCGATATAATTTTTAGAATAAGATAAGGTTATGTTTTGAATTGTCTCAATTCATCCTTCATTCTTTTTAAATGTATAAATTCTTAAATTAGTTGTGTATTTATAAAAAAAAATATTTTTACACGACAAATCTTTTTGCTAGTGCCAAAAGAGAAACTAAAAATTGTATTTTGAACAACTTTTTTCTTTCATTAATGATCTATTGTGATTTTGTTGTTGTTATTTCTGCTTTGATCTAACTCATGATAATACAATGCCTTTTGGATTATGCATGTTTTTCGGGAAGAGTCCCCTATGCATTTTATCTCATATTTCTATATACTCTAGTATAAATGTCATGTATAAATATATGCTCTGAAAAATAGGTTTTGATATGAATGATAGATAACATATGCTATGATAAATACAGTAGGCTCTAATATGCTTGATAGATAAAATGTGCTCTGATATACAACATATATGCTTTGTTATGCAATTTTTTATATATATATGTTCACTCTAATAGGTTTTGAAATGAATAAGCATACTAATATACATATATGCTCAATTATTAATAATGCCCTAATATGATCAATAAGATCAAAAGAATACACCAATATGCATGTGTTAAATGAACGTATGCGTAAAATCAAATTGCTCGTCTTATACACAACGTTTGAGAGGTACACTCTTATACTACTCTAATGATATTATAATGCTTCCATGTCTTAAAGAAAATCACATTTTTTTATAAAAATGATTTCTCAAATTAAGTTATTTTTGCAATAATCATTTCTCCTTAATCAACAAAAATATTTTCTAAGAAGTAAAAAAAAAAGCTTAGTTTCAAAAACGTGCTTGTCACCATAAAAATAGTAGATTATTAAGTAAAAGATGATTTTAAATCCCTCAAGTTTTCATATTTTAATGTTAACAAACAACTTTTTTCTAAGAGAAAATATTTTTGCAAAATACAAATCAGACAATGCATAAAGACACAAAATGTTAGATAAATAATGTGTCATTAATGAAGCATACAGTCTAATTTCATAAAATTTGAAATGCATATATTTTATAATGACTAATAACTACTTGTTGCATGTCTATCTAACTGATTTCTTAACATATCGAATTAAGAAGCCTCTTTGGAACTTACAAATCTGTTAAAGTGAATGGATCAGTCATACTTTGCACAAGAACTAATAACAAACATATCTTTGAAATCATAGAGAAAGTCAATAAAAGTTGATGCAAAACCTACTCCTCCTTGACACATGCTACAAATAGTCTATTTGGTATCATAAAGTTGATAAGTAGCCTTCTTGGTTAGATAAGAAGTGACAATTTGGTAAAAACATATTTAATATAATCATGTAATGCATCACTAGACACTTCTCACTTTAAGGAACATGTAATGAAGATAGTCGAAGCAAGACTATGAGGAACCCTCAAGTTTTTGCAACGACTATCTTCATTTGAGCTACTATATAAAAAGCTTCATGATCAAAAAAGAAATAAGAACTTTTGAAGAAATATTTTTAGAAGAATTTTTGTACAAATTCATTCTTTCTGTAAAAACTTTTGTTCTTAATTGGTTGTATCATGTCTTATTTGTAAGACAAAACAACATCTATAAAAACTTTACCCAAATATAACCATGGTTATAGGGTTGAGCCTAAAGAAACTTACTTGTAAAAGAATATTTGTTTGAGTTTGAAAAAAATTATTTGTAAAAAAATACTTGTTTAAGCCTAAAGAAGTTTGATAGTAAAAAATTACTTGGTGCTGAAACCTGGAGAGACTTTGTGTGAAAATAATAATTAGGTAGATTGTTTAAAAAGACAATTCAAAGAACACTTGATTTATTAAAATAATAATAATTTTTTATTTAAGATAGTGAAATTCAATTTAATTGGATTGAGAATTAAACATAACCAACAATATCTTAAAGATTTTAAGTTTTAAAAGTTAAAGATTATAATACATAGATCATGACATTAATATACTAATTAATTTAAATTCAAATATATACTCATAATAACCTCAATTTTTATACTACTATTATGATATGTTGAGTAAAATTGGACTTAAATTGTTTAAGGTTATGATACGAGTTTTGTAGATAAAAAATTATAATTAAAAAATATTATACTAAATGTATCCAATCAAATTCCTAATACAAATTAACTATTGACAAAGATATTAGATATTTTACACTAATACATGCTTAAAAAAAATGTAATTACTATATATATGTATTTTAAAGTAGGAGTGAGTAAGACTTAATAATAATATGTCAAATTAAAATATTTCTATATATTTCAAATCTTTATTGGTTCAAGTTTATAATATAATAAAATATGAAATTACTTTCAAGTTATTATTCAATTTTAACAAAATTTGATATAAACATATAAAGTGGTATGAAATTATAATTCAACGGTTGGATTTATAAAATTTACATCTAATATAAAGTTATTGAATAATGTAATATTTAGTAAAAGTTACATCGGTATCGTTTGAACCTTCCATTTATATATATATATATATCAATGAATTGTTGAACCAAATAAAAACAAAGAAAATTTTGTCTTAACCGATCGTTTGTTTAGCTCTATTTTAAAGATTTAAAATATAAAAAAAATATTTTAGTAGAAAAACAATAAACATGATATATTATTTTATCACATTGCCTATGTAGTAAAAACTTTTCTTTTAATACATACTAGTAGGGAAAGAGACACTTTGTTAATAGTAAAAAAAAATTTGTTAAATCTATGAGTAATAGTGTTTAATATAAAAATGAAAATAAAAAGGGTAGTTATCAAAATTCATTTTCCTTATAATAAATATAGATATATTTATAACTATTAATAAAGAAAATACATTTTTAAATAATTGTTTTGATCTTCATTTTTTTTTTTTTTACTTTTCTATCTATTTAATTATACAATAACTTCTTATAGATAAGGGATAAAATAAAAAAAAAAACATATATATATATATATATATAAATATAATTTACTGTATAATTGTTAAAAGCACATAATACTTCGACCACTCTAATAGTAAATAAAAAAAAAAGAACTTTCCTATATATATCTATCCAATTGAATAATTTTATTTATATCTATTATAAAGATAATATTGAGAATATATAATCTTTTGATCTCCAATTTTTTATTTAATGAATCATTATATTCATTGAGTATAAAGAACAATTGAATTATACTCAACTTTTTAATATTTAATCTGTTTATAATTATTAGAGAAATTAGGGTCCTTTAGTAATAAATAATGCAATCAAAATATATGAAATTAAATTGAATCTGCAATTAATTAAAGTGATTAGATAATAGTAATAAATAAAAAATAAAAAAAAGGGTTTCAAGGCGACGGAATCCGTGAATTAATTTTGTGCTGATGGAAGTTTAATTGAATAAATGTGATGGAGAAGAAGGATCGCGAAAGTAAGCCCTAAAGAGAAGCGAAAGGAGAAGAGAAGAGAAGAGAAGAGAAGTGAGAAATCTGGAAGATGAGTGATGTATCAGATAAATTGGCGTATTTCCAAGCCATAACCGGTTTAGAAGATCGCGACCTCTGCACAGAAATCCTCGCAGCCCACAATTGGGACCTCGAACTCGCCATTTCATCTTTCACCACCAACGCTAACCCTCACCCTAACAACCATGCTCCCTCTGCATCCAATCCCCAACCCCAACCCCAACCACCTCCTCCCGGCATCGCTTGGAAACTCATAACCCTCCCTGTCTCCGTCATTTCCGGCAGCCTAGGGCTAATTTCCGGGGCCATCGGATTGGGCCTATGGGCCGCGGGGGGCGTCCTCTCCTACTCCCTCGGCCTCGTCGGCCTGGGCTCCGCTTCCGCCTCCGCCTCATCCTCCTCCGCCCCCTTGGTTTCCGTCTCCGCCGCCACTTCCGAGGCCTTGGATTTCGTCGCCGCCTTCCAGAGGGACTACGGCAACGCTGGGCCCAATTTCGTCGGCGAGGGTTTCATGGACGCGCTTCAGCGCTCCCGAAACTCCTTCAAGCTTCTCTTCGTTTACTTGCACTCCCCCGATCACCCCGATACGCCGTCGTTTTGCCAGAGGACGCTCTGTTCCGAGACCATTGCTGCCTTTGTGAACGAGAATTTCGTGTGCTGGGGTGGCAGCATTCGCGCTAGCGAAGGGTTTAAGATGAGTAACAGCTTGAAGGCTTCGAGGTTCCCCTTCTGCGCCCTTGTTATGGCCGCCACTAATCAGAGAATCGCGCTCCTTCAACAGGTTTGATTTCTGCGCTTGGTGTTGCCAATTTTCTGTTCGTGTGGTTGTGTCTAAACCCTAGATATACTAGTTTTTAGTAGCAATATGTTTTGCATTAAACAAGAGAAATGAGTCAACTTGATGAGGGGCTGTAATACCAAGTTGATTAATACTTGGTATTCTACACAAAAATTGTGGAGAGAGCTCATTACTACCAAGGAATTCTACATCCCAGCATCAAGGTTCTGATTGAAAACCAGATTTAATATATACTGTGTACATATAAATTCTCTAAATGATAAATTAATGACATTCATAACTAACAATATAAAGTTATGATCTTGGTATCTTAAACAGAAGATGCCAACAAAAGTCAAACTTAAGTTTCCTAGATAGGAATCATCGTTCATCTTCTTCTAAATTTAAGTCTTTGTCTTTATCATTTTCACTACTATTATAGCTGTAGATTTCATTTTTTGCAAACTAAAATCACCAAAAGCCTTGATGTCTCTGTTCAAAGGGAATTTTCGGAATCAACACATGGTACCAATATGCAACCTACTATTTTGTCTGCTAGGGGCACTTAGTGTTGTTAAATTGTTACTATAGTGCTATTGCATTGCAGAATTCCTTGGATCCACCCACTATCATGACCCTGTTGACTATTGCAGCTGATATGAATGTTGTGGTTGCAGCATGCATCCTGAATCCCATCGTGAATGCTCTTTTCATCTATGGCGAGTCTATGGCCAATTGAACTTGGTTAACGTTGTGTCAATTTTTATGCATTTGATTTTGATTTGTATACAACATAATTTCTATACATATAATTAATATAGATCATGTATTTCAACTGTTAAGCAACTTCCACTATTTGTCCACAGACCTGTGATATAGTGGATTATTGGCTTTTACAATCTTCAATTGATAACACTGTGGCCGCCACTAAACAGTTCTGCTACAGCAAACCCTGTAGCAGGCAGTGCCACTCTGCACTGTTACTCTGCTATAGCGGCACTATGATGTGCTATTTAAAACCCTTCCAAGAGGGGTCACCTTTCCCTAGTCTTCACTCGATATCTTTTGTGCTCTTTCTCTCTGTCTCACTTCTTGTTGTAGTTTCGTCATTCCTCATGACTCACGAGTGCTGAATGTTCCCCTCTTAGTTCCCTAATTTTTCCCTTGTGATCCTCAACTAGAAATATAATTCCCAATGGCATCAATCCCCTATGTCTCTTATTTATCCTTTCATATTCTAATTGGGGGGTCTATCATAAACTTGCATCATCATTAATGAAGAACTTTTTGTACTATTGCTCACCATGTTTTAGATAATAAAATTTTTGCCAAAATTACACTTTTGTATTACGAATGAGCTTTAACATTGTGACTTAACTATAACAATTTACACTCCTCAGCATATACTTATATTTTAATATATTATATTTTTTCAAATTGTATCATGAATGTTTATTTCTCATTATGCAGATAATGTTATATTATATAATTTGTCTTAAACAAGATATGTTTTCTATTGTCTTCCTAGGATCTGGTCTTATATTAGGAAATATAGTTGAAATATTACTTTTCATCCCCATTGTTTGGATTCAAAGCCTAAACTTTGTTCAATGTGTGCATGTCATGTTCTGGAAGGATGAATTTTTGCTTGAAGTGCGATAAGTTTTCCAGATATAGCTCTACTTTAAAGCCAATTGCTCTGTGAATTTTTGCTTGTAATATACTCATATATATATATGCATAAAATAGATTATTAATGAGGAAAATTAGGTCATACATTACACTTGAACATGATTTTCTGTTTCTTTGGCTCAAATTTGAAGCCTTCTGTGTTAATTTATGTATATATCATATATGTGTATTTATCAAAGACTATCGAAAAATAATATGATAGACCATGCTTAAAAGTTGGCTTCATGTTGTGGTTTTTGGTTTTTGAGCTGTTGAACCTGAAAGCTCAATTTTGACACTATTTTTGTGAATTTCTATGTAAAATATTTCCATAATTTTGATGCTAGATTTTTTTTTACATACATAGTTAACATGCTTGATATGGATAAGTATTGAGATATTTAGCCTGTTCTATAATAAGATTAGCTCCTCTTGCTCCTCACAATAAGATGGAGTTCTTACTTTATATGCCTTGTGTGCATGTTACCCATTACAGTTCAGCCATGCTACAAGCATATTGACACAGTTCAATGCTACTAGTTGAGTGATTGAACCATCCCTTATTTGCAAAATTTGCATGTAAGATAAGGTATACACATATAATGTGGTTAGAATTGATAAGTTATAATAGATCATACCAATGTTTTAAAACCAAAACAGTCATTGAATTGGTGAAGATACTGTTTTATGGTTTAATGGTTTAACTGTAGGTAATAATTAAATAATACTTATAATTTTTATTATCACACACATTAAACAATATTAATAAATATATTACAATATTAATAATATTATAATATTTGAAATGAAACTTCATGCATAATAATGATTGATGAAGTTTTTTGTTGATTTCATATAAAAAAAAAGCATTTTAAATTAATTGATTAATTAGTATATCAAATTTCTTATTAGAAAATCTACAATTATTCACCTACCAATACAGTATGAATGTATGAGATGCAGAAAAAACAAACTATCCATTTTGATCAGCAAAATTGTCAATATAAGGTCTGTTTGGATAAAATTCTCCATAAGCATTTATAGGAGAAGAAAATAAGAAGTAAAAATGATCTAGGTTTTTTTATCAGCTAAAATTAGTGTATACAAGTTAAAAACATATTCTAGTGAAGCTAATATAAAAGAACTTTTACTAATTAACTTATGCGGAAGTTAATTTTAGTTTTTGAATTAGCTTATTTCATTCTTCCTTGTTATTTTCTTCTTCTATAAATGCTTATAGAGAATTTTATTCAAATAAGTCCATAATACGGATCTAACCACCTATTAAATGGCAATTATTTGGATCCATGTTGTATATGTATGTATATTTCACTGTTGTATTTGAAACAATGAACACATGATTCAGTGTGGCTAGATGAACTGATGGTTGCTAGATGAAGATTCACTTGATGTGAGGAATGAGTTTTGGTTATTCAGAGCCTTGAAGTAGAGAGTTTGTTCAATGTAGCTAATCTCATCTAGGGGGATCGGGATTCGTTGTAATTGTTCTGCTGAGTTTTTCTTGTTGCTCAACTTGATCCCTTACCACTTGGAAATATTTTCTTCCTCCCTAGTTGGTATGCAATACTTGTGCTTGTGAGGAAGATTTTGATTGGTGATGTCAAAAGGTTGTGCCATGAGTATCCTCAAGAAAACTGTATTAGGTTTAATTCCATCTGTATTGTTAGAATATATGAAAAATATCTCATAACATCAAAAATATTATATCTTAGAATATTTATGTTAAACTCAAGTAAAAGCACACAGAATTACAGTACAAGACAGACAACATGGGGTTTTCCCCTAACAAGGAGTCTTTTACTGTGCATTCAGCAATTAGTAAAACTACCTAATGAATAACCAGCCCCATGCCCCATTCATTTTAAATATAATGCTCTAACCGTCACACCATCACATAACTACCTAAATAACTGCATAAAGACAAAAACAATACATAAAAATAATGACTCAGAATCATAACTACCTAAAGACTCAAATACTGCACAAACACTAACAATTCAGGCCTACTGAGTCTCAGTCTGTTTCTTATCCCTTCTCACATAAACTTTCCAAGGTCTATGAGAGTATCTTAGTTATTTCTTTGGAATAATTTCTTAGTTTCCTTATTATATCATTGTTTGTTTCATTATTTAGTTAGGATTATCGATTATGATCCAGTATCAATTTGTAAGACTCCATATCAAATCAATTCAATGTCAATTTTATCATATTTAACTATTCAGTCTGCTTTATCCCCTTTTCCTCCCTCTATACTTAAAGCCCCATAATTTCAACAAGTAGATTTATCTATAAAGACATAGTGCGCTCATATTCTTACTAAAATGGTATGCCAAGTATTATAGTTGATTAGGCATTCTGATTATGATACTACCATGGTTAATCTATTTTATGTAATGCAGGTTGAAGGTCCAAAATCCAGTGAGGAGCTGCTAGTGACACTGCAGAGAGTGCTTGAAGAAAGTTCCCCTGTTCTTGTTACAGCAAGGCTTGATGCAGAAGAAAGGCGAAATAATATGCGCTTAAGGGAGGAGCAAGATGCTGCATACAGGGCTGCGCTTGAAGCTGATCAAGTATGTTTTTTTGTAGTGTATAGTTGTTTTGCTTATTTCTTACCACTTTCATTTTTTGTGGTCTCTATTCCATGGCTTGTCCTTTTGTCCAATCTCAAATTCCCTTGCAGAGGCCTTTATATGGAAAGAACAGGCCTGTTACTGTTGTGGATTAATGTTGTATGTATGTCCAGGCTAGGGAACGACAGAGGAGAGAAGAAGAAGAACGTCTTGCAAGGGAAGCTGCTGAAGCTGAGAGAAAGCGGAAGGAGGAAGAGGAGGCTCGTGAAAGAGCAGCACAAGAAGCTGCAGAAAAACAAGCTGCATTAGCTAAAATACGTCAAGAGAAAGCTCAATCTCTTGGTGAAGAACCTGAAAAAGGACCTAATGTTACACAGGTACATTATCTGAAGATTTAACTAAGATTTTATTTCTCTGATATTGCCTTTACTTTGCTATTGCCATGTTCCAGTAGTTCATATACTGTTCAGCTTATATAGTTTCACTTAAAATTCGTTGATGGTTTCACTTCTATGCAAGATCTTTAGTTTAGTTTTTGTTTAATTATATATGACGGCTGTTTTCTTTATTCCTCTTCCGAATCAAAATTACTAGGTTTTGGTACGGTTTCCTAATGGTGAACGCAAGGAAAGGAGGTTCAACAGCACAGCGACAATTCAGTCTTTATATGATTATATTGACTCCCTGGGATGTTTAGAAGTCGAGAGTTACAGCCTGGTCTCTAATTTTCCTCGTGTTACTTATGGACAAGAAAAGCTGACATTGTCATTGAAGGAAGCAGGATTGCATCCTCAGGCCAGCCTGTTTGTGGAGCTCACTTCATGAGAATAATATTTGCCAAATAATCTTACGAATACATGAAATGAAGATGATGCCTGCAAATAGGAAATTCCGTGATGTTGTTTCATTCTTCTGTTTAAAAAAATGACTTGTTACAAGCGTTAGATGAATAGATTGTTGTGGTTTCTGTAGTTTTGGTTCCTCTTATTTTCCATTGAATCAATCAAGCAGATAGCGTTACATGGAGATCATTTAGAATAATGATATATATAATATGCATATATTTGTCCATTCACTTAATTATTACGAATCTCCCCGTGATATATATAGTATATTTGGTACTGGACCAGCTATCATGGAAAGCCCAAGGTTTGGATGGTTTATTCTCATATTGAGGAGTGTTAGCACTATACATTTTTTTCTAATATATCTTTTTAATATTGATCGAAATTCATGTTTTCCACCGCTTTGTGAGTTGCACGAATTTCAACTAGTTATAGTGTTGGAAAGAATATGATAGTGTGTTGCATTTCTTATATTGTCTGAAGGGAAGTTGGTTGGTCATTTTTGGAGAGAAATGCATTTTTCTCTAAGGAGCTGAGCTCTGGTCTGTCCCATTGTAAGTGCCACACTTCTATGAGTTGTATTGTATGTGTGGATAATAATGCCTATCTATCTTATGATACTTGGATAGGGGAGAGGATAAGGCAAATTTTATTGCTGAGAAATGCCTGCTGCTTGTTTTAATAAATCTGATCTTGTTAAGCATCAAGCTTTTTAAATATTACTAAGCTGTTAATGCCGCACTTCAAAATTGAGTTTCGACTTTTAAAAGTAACAAATTTGTATTGAGAAAGAAAATACCTATTACATTCAAGATTTATGAAAGTATAATAATTAATTTTAAAATCAAGAACATTATCGTCAATAACGTTTCCAACTAAATGTTCACGATTGGTTGCCGTTGCACGTCTCTTGGAATCATCATGATACGAGTTTATTCTCTTTTTCTGAATATTGGTTGTTGAAGCTAGTGGAAATTTCAAGATGCCAAAAAAACAACCAATTCCAAATACAAAGAGTATCGAAACGGCTGAAAGGTCGTTGTTCTGAGAAAAAAGTGACATAGTAACCAACTTTACCATGTATCACATCACATCTCATCTATTGATTCGATAAGCTTGCCTTTCAGATATATTTTCATACGTAGGGTACCCAAAAAAAAAAAACTTTTTTATATTTAATCACCGACACCCAAGATGCATAAAACAATAGTATATCTAACTAAAAACTATTCCTTTCAACTTGATATTCCAAAGAGCAATTGGCCAAAACAAAAGGGTGAAAGTCTTCGATTTCTTAAATCAACATACTGGTCTTTCCAATAAATCTAAGTTTCATTTCCTTTGAAACCGAAAATTCGAGTACTGGCCAAGCAGAAGTGATAGTGATGAGCATCGACAATTTATATAAAAATAAAAAAAATAATGTGTTGATATGAATAGATGCCATAAGCAGGTTAGGTTTCCCTGACAATTTTGGACTTCTCAAGTACAAACTTGCCTTCCTTGTACTTCTGAGAATCCTCATAGGCACGTTCATACTTCCAACCAAGCACCTCATGGCAATCACAACAGTACACATCAGCTACTGTGTGGAGACCCGTCATCAGTTCCCTGTCTTCTTTTGCTCCTACACCAACGTTCATTGCATGACCAAACAGAAATGCTCGTCCACTTTTTCCCTGAATTCTCACCAATTTTACCATAACTAGTTATATACTTTACTCACTTCTATTCTATATGAATTACAATTAAATATCTCCACAATTCGTCAAATTTTAACTCTCATACCATTTAAATGATTATCTTAAAAAAATGTCAAAGATAATTTGTAACTAACTCACGGCTAACAAAATTTATACTCATTATGCATGCCTGTTAAGCTTTTTATTTTAATTATTATTATTTTATATTACTCTATTGTTATTTTTTTTATTCTTACTCTATTATTATTTTAAATTTTATCATTTGAGATTTTAATAACTTCTATTTTTCTAGTTAAAAATAGTAGCTTTTTCTAATGTTTAACAAACACAAGGGATTTATGTATAAATAAAAAATTCGTCAATTTTATATATATAAAAAAATTAGGCTCAAGTGCATCATACATATATAATACGTAAAGTTTTATTTTGATTTTAGAAATACAGGTGATCTTAATTTACTCTTGATAAAAGCAATCAATTGAAATTAAACTGAAATTCTTCCAAATCCAATCATATGATAGTATATTGCTTATCTTGTTTGATCATGGTGAAAAGGTAGTCACCAGATGAAACTCAAAAGAGAATAAAAGTTAAAGGTGAAAGTAGTGTTGAGTTCACCTGAAAGGCCTTTGAAATGACATCATCATGAAGAGCAACATGGTTTCTACAATTAGAGCAACTGTACAATCTGGCTCCAATCACTTCCTCCATCTCAAACCTTGTTTCAAATCCAAATCACTTCCCACCCAAAAAGAGTTGAATTGAATCAATTGTGTAATTGTGTCATGAACGTGAACATAGCTTTTTGAGTGTTCAATCAAATATGATTTTGAAATAAAAACTTGAAACTGAAATTGTAAGTACCTGCCCCTTTAAAGAATAGACTCTGCTTTGCCTTCAAGATGCTTCTTTTCCTTATGCAAGTTCTCCTTTTAGGGCTCTCTGCTTCATGGGTCACTCAGAATGTGGGATTGCTCTCACCTCTCTCTCTCTCTCTAAAGTTGAACATAATACACATATCGGATTTGATTATTTCAGTGATTTAATTATAAGGTTGAAAATATTTTCCATCACTAAAGCAGTAGACTATATTCACTGAAAGTCTCTACTCTCTAGAATTTAAATGCCAGTTATTTTATGGAAAAAAAATGGTCGGTTACAGAGACTAGTCTCTTAACACGTGTAATATTATCTATTTTAAAGAATATCTTTTCCTTTTGGTTTACGGATTTAAAGAATAGAAAGTATAGATGGTTCTTTTTTACTTTCTTTCTTATTTTGGGTCATTATCTGTTTCTATTTAGATATATTAAACTGTCTAAAAATATAAAAAGAATTGATTTTAAATTTTGAGCTTGTTTGTAGTGTACAATGAAATCATTACAATTAATGAATATGAAATATTGTGCGTCTGATCATTTTTAAAAGTAAAATTCATAATTTTAATTATACGATTTCTAAAATAAAAAAAAAAAAGAATCACGATAATTCATCACAATTTTTTTTCCAATGCAAAAGTTAGCTTTGCCAGTTCAGCAAACACGTTTATATGAAAATTTTATGGTTGTAGTTGCACCACATTTATGCAAATTCCCCCTAAGTTAATGAAGAATTGAAGCTGTACCACAGAAATCTCCGATCACGAAGTATTACATTGCCGAAAGAATCATAATATAATATATAGGTAGGCCCGTGTTCCAGAATTAAGGAAAGGGTAATCTGAAAAGTAAATCAACATGAAGAATTATTGAGCAATGACAAAAGAATGCAACAACAAAAAAAAGACATGGACATTTTTGCCTTCACATTATGGTGGAGAACAGTGCACATATCACAAATCCAATGATGAGGAATTGAAAAGTTGAAGTGAGGTGAGGTGAGGTTGAAGTTGAGGTAGAATTAGAGACTGGAATGTTGCCAAATACTGTGGGATAGGAAGGTGCATATGCAGAACTTGGACCAGATGCTGCATCCATATTTTCTATTATTCCTTCACCCACTGATATATGAAGCTTTTGATTCTTTTGGCAATGGCCAGCCACACCACTAGTGAAGTAGAATTGTCCCTTTGATGTAATGTTAAACAAAGAGTTTCCATTGTTCATATACAATATGGGGTCTTTAAGGTTGCACCTCTTGTAGGATTCCTCTGTGACTTGAATCACTGAATCTTGACTTGGTGGGTATAGAAACACTGCATAAGCATATAAACAATAATAACAAATGAGCTCATGTTTGTACCCTTTTTGTTACTCTAGAGTCTAGATAGAAGGGTCATTGGTGTAGTTGCATAAATCAAATAAACAAATGTAGAAAGTAGTGTAAACTTACAAAGTGAGTCTCCAATTGTGATATTGTGATCTTTGGACCATTTGGTGTAGACTTGAGGATTTGCTGAGGTGGGTATCCCCCAAGCTTCTAGATCTCCAACTTTGTGTTGGTAGCAAAACACCTTGGCTTGGATTTGGACCAAGAGAAGCAAGAGAAGCACCAACATTCTTTTATGACTTGAGAGATTGGACATCTTGGTTCTACTTAGAGTCACACCCACATTAATCTCAAACTCTTTTCTCTAGATTTAGTGGTCTCACCTAGGACCACTCGAGGAAGGCTTCTTAGTTGTCTCGAGTATGGCTTTGAAGGGGTTGATAATGAGATCAGAAAGGGTGCACCTAAAAGGTCAATTTACTTGAGTGCCCCTATTCCTCTATAATTCCAAGAGTCAAAATTTTTTATACTAATATAATTTACTAGTAGTATTATAGATCCTCCATGATATAATTTATTAATTAGTCTAGTTGGGTTGTCATCCATTAATTTCTTTCTCTTCTAAAGAGACCTAGATCTAAAATGAAATCTGAATAATTTCAAAGATGAAGTTAGAAAGATGGTTAAGGATAAAATAACCTTGCAGTGATGCTGACAAGACATGGCAAGAGTGAGATATTGCTTGAAGAATATTGATGCGATGGCAATGAAGTGCTGCGGAGTTTAGAGGGTTAAGACAGAACAGATCAAGTAGACAACTATTATGCACTAATAACGTGCACATCACATGGGCCAGTTGGCGGTCTACATTTGTTTATCAAGTTTGGAATTTTGAGTGGGGATGGTCTCATTTTGTTATCTTAAGAGTGTATAATTGTGTCACAATAATATTACATTATCATGTGACGCAGGGAAGAAAAACAGCAAACTTTCTCCAGGCACATCACATGGTTCATTGGTTTGCATTGGCAAAATGGGAAAATATGATTTACAAATGAGGACAGTAATACTATCAAACTAGGGCAAATTAGAACTGAACAAGCCAATACCATGTAGAGAAGTGGTAAAAACTATGACAATAAGATTAAAATAGGAATAAAATATAATTTAACTTAAATGTTATTAAATATTAATTATCATGTTCTTTAATGTTAGACTTTTAATAATTTTGAATCAAAATTATAAATTTTAAAAACTTGAGATACTAAAATTATAAGATTAAAAATTAAAAAATCAAAAATTATAAATTAAATATTATAGAGATCAAATTTACAATTTAGTGTTGACCTTTTTATTGTTCGGCTAGGAATTTTCCAAATTTTACATGTCTTAATATTAGCAAGTTGGCTCTTTATTTAAATATAAGAAAAGATTTGGTTGCAATAAATTTAAATTAAGACAAGATACAATTTCATATAAGTCAACCATAAATCTTTTTATAAAATTTTACTAGAATCGTCTATTCCATCTCTAACACAAATTTACATAAAAGAATATAAAACATAAAAGAAAGTTATGATAAAAAATTATAACTACTAAAAAGATATGAATTATTTAAGTATAAAATAACATATGGCGAAAATTTAAGATTAAGTTTTTCTTTAATAACTTCATAAATATGCATGTATATGTTTTTTTTGTTTTTGGTATTTAGACAATGATATTTTTTTATATAAAATACAATTAAAACTTTGAACACTTTTTAATAATCACTCTTTTAGTTTCAACTTTCTCGTGATATTTTTATCCTTAAGTTCATACTACACACTAACCGTTAAAATTACTCACTCTCAGCAATAAAAAAAATAAAAAAATAAAAAAGTTACCTACTTCCACATCTTTGCTAATTTTTCTTTTTTCTACAATCATCTTTTCTCAAACCCCCATCAAACAAATATAAGAGACAAAATACCTCATTTTCGTACTAGTAGGCAATGATGTATCTCATTTTAAATCTTCACTGGATAAAGATCCTCTTTTTAAGTTTACGAAAAATATTTTTCAATTAAAAGATGTTTTAAAATATTATAATAATTATACAATATTTAAGAATAATAAAAAGGTTTCAAAGAAAACTTTAAAAAGACTTCTCTCACAAAATAAAAACAATAACATGAGAAAATTATTAAAAATAAATAAATAAATGATAAAATAAATCATTGTATCATCATTTTTCCTTTTTATCTCGATCTATGAGGTCCTAAATAAACAATCAATTGCTTGATCTTGACTGGGGTAACATTAAATTGTTAAAAACGATGCCATAACAACAGTACGAGAATATTTTACCATGTTGACTCATTCAGCACAACAGAACCTATTATTCAGCTGGTAGAATACAATAAGGCTATACAAATTCAAATCCGATATAGTAATAATAAAAGCAGTTCAATATGTAGGGATGTTATTTCTCCCCCGGGGTAGTCCCCGTAACTTTCTTACCAGTTATCACTAGAATTCCGGATTAATCTGCAAACATAAGACGTTGCAGTATGATACAACAGAGAAGCTTATTTACATCTGAATCTTTAAATGAAATAAATAATGAGATCAACTTTGACAGATCATCATTTTGCTCATTTGCACTAGCTGGGCTTTTAGATCGTCACAAAGGCTTATTGAACACAAGGAAGGCTGGATCAGAGAATATATATGCCACTTATCAAGGACTATCAACATCCAAAAAGCAGTTCTCCTTCAGCAAAGAGAAAAAATTGGAGTCCAACCTATGATTGATCACTCGCCAGGATGTACATGTACTTCACTAAAGATCATATTTATCAGCTTTCATGCAAATTCGTCTCTCTCCCCATTTTGTTCCTGGCTGTAGAAACCAGATAGCTGTTGTTGCAACTGTTCGAAGTGATAACAAGATCGATCAGTAGTTTTACAGAAACTAAAGTTTCAATTTAATTGGATTCCGGCTTGGACATAACATATATATGTAATGCAAGTAGGAATCTCAAATGGCAAATCCAGCATGATGATGAAATATAAAAGCTTGTATAGAAACTTACCTGCCCGTATCTTAACTTCTCATACGTCAGCTCATCAGTCAAATTAATCATCCTGTTAACACAAGACAGAAGGTGCGTGTTAACTTCTAGAAGTCAAAGAGAAAGGGTTACCAGGGAAGAATTTGGTTAACTAACCGAGACTGGAGTTCTGAAATTCTGGCCAGCAGCATAGTTTCCCTCTCTGAAGCTGCTGTATCAACCTATAAAATGATTCAAATGTAAGAAAAGGACATCAAGCTGATAATCATTATACTGTTTTGCTACGGGTTTATGTCACCAAAACAGAAGTCTCACATGCGGAAGTTAAAAATAATTAAGCATACAAGTGAAAAGAATAAATCAAAAAGAAAAATGCTTACACTTCCATTGTTCTCTGAATTGCGAGGTAATGGTGGCAACTTTCCATTCTGAGAAGCTGAAAAAAATTGATTGATCTCATTATTTCATTCAATACTAAGGAAAAAAGATCCCTAAACATAATCAACGGAAATCCTTCACTCACCATCAATTGCCTCGGCAGTTTGCAAACTATTCAACAGATTCATTATAAGATCCTGGAATTAAACAGAACTTTCCAGTGTAATTATAAATTGTTAAAAAGATACATTTAAAATGATCAGTTTTCCAGTAGGCACACAAGTAAATTAAATGCCATTGCTCAAACTTAAAGCTTTCCTCACCTGTTGAATAGATGTCTGCTGGAAAAGATTGTGAAGATGAGGCACTAAAATAGATGCAGGAATATTCATATTGGCAGAATCATTGGAGGGCTGACCAATTGGCTGAAGAGAAATACATGCAATGAAAGACAAACAAGCATTATATATCAAATACAATAATAAATATAACATCCTAAATACCCTGTAAGTCTCTAACCAACAATAGAATCCAAATATTCACAAAATGACGATAAACAAAGTTGGGTATAGAGAAAATGGCAAATCTACAAACCATTTGTTTGTAATCCACCATCCAATCACCAACGCTGGCAGATTTCCTCATTGGTGATCCCTATATGTAATGTAACAGGAAGAGAACAACAAATGAGGATAAGAAAAAAAAAACATAAATATATAGGAATTAATAAATTAGATCATCAACCAACCTGTGAAGATCGGCGTGAAACTGAACTTACAGGAATATCCTATACCAATAAGATAAAATCAGTTAAAGTTGTTGATAGGGACAATTAGATTGATTAACAAAGAACACACACCTTCACCAGATCTAAATTTTCTGATGTCACTGAGAATCGACCTTTAATTTGCACTAGATTAGCCTTAGACTTATCATCCATGGAATCTCTGAATCCTAGGAAGAGTTGGAACAACAAAATCAAAACCAAGTGTTTTAATATGGCTGGTTGAAATATACTAGAACTTGCACACAGCCTTAAGGTGTACATGATGATTCAAATACCTCCAGAAGATTTTATCGGAGCTGACAAACTATTTGCTGAAGCTCGGTTTGGAAGCATTAATGGACCACTGAAGCTTGGAGCTCGTCGTATATCACGATTATTTTTCTCACCTGAGAACTGATTTTCATTCTCAAACCTAAAAGTTATAAAGCATTAAAATTTTAACTAGCAAAATATCAAACTGGTAATAACAAGAAAACCTAAACAAGCAGCATAAAGAATGAAACTAGAAAGAGACACGCACAACATTGAATTTATTTAATCAAATTACACTTTTTTACATTGTATATTTATAGACAACTCAAGAAATATAGAAGAGATAAAGAAGATTCTCCAGACATAATAAAGGTAATGGATTGCCTTGTTTATTGGTCACTAGATGTACTTCCCAAATTAATAGCTATGACATAAGAATGGAACCATTAACAATTGAAATAAACAATACAATTATTATTTCAGTTCCATACTATCAGCTGCAATTCAAAATGGAGAATGTATCCCAGCCTGGCACACTTGTACATGTATGTGTAGAGAGAGAGAAAGGAAGGATTAACGAACGCTGAGTTGAGTTACACTCTTATTATGATTAATAACTTTTTACTGGATAATGTTGTCCTAAATTTCACTTTTAGATTAAAAGTTCCTATTATATAGGTAATATTTTCTTATTCAGTTATTTGTGTACATAAAAAATAACTTAACATACATACTTTTGAAATATATGAAACTAAGCACCATTTAATTATTTTCTTATTATTGATCAATTTTTAAAACATTTGAAACAAATAAATTATATAATATATAATTATAGCTCAATAGTTAGACTGATGAAAATTATATTTAATATAAAGTTGTTGACGGCATAAAAGTAAATGTAACTCACATTAGGGTAAAATAAAATCATGCAATGAAGCATTGAATTTTAAATTGTATAAATATTTTTAGACTTTTTCTATGTCATATGGACTTCTAATTTAACATTTAGATTAAAAACGTTTACTTTTGGTAAAAAGTTAATGGAGGTGTCATTTTACAAAATTTGACACATGAGATCAATTGACATGTGTGTAGTTTCATTCTCTTACTAGAAAAGATGTGTAAGTTGAGCTAGGCCAAAGCATTTGAAGCTCCAACTTGAGAAAAAAACATGCAACTAAAGTTTGACTCATTTATTTAAACAAATCAAATTTAAAAACTTGAATTTGTTTTATTTAGAAATACAAAATGAGTCCAGCATAATTAGCTTATTTATGGATTTTTTTTTTCCTCCTTATCAAATCTCTCTTTGAAGGAATGTTTTAAGCATGTTAAAATCATTTTTAGCAGGCATATTTATGCTAGAAGATAGCGCAACTCCACTTGATATAGGCACAACCATTCAAAAACTTGGAATATTCAAATAATTTCAGCATATATTTCAACATAAACTTTATTATTGTAGTGCACCCAGAGCTTTCAAAAGATTGTGTTGTGCCTAAGGTTAAGGTACTATGCTCACAGAAGAATGACTCCAGAAGATGAAGTACAAATATGATTTTGAACAATTTAGGTAACTAGTGGATAGTAATAGTAATGAATAAAATTACAAGGGCACAAGACAACTCTATCTAAGGAACTCAGAAAAATAACCCCATAACTTCGGGATAAGGGGTGCCTCCTCAGAAAGGGGATTACAGTAACCAAGCCTAAGCAACTGTCTCAAAATAGAAATAAATTTACTAAGTAAAAATATATCATTATTTATCCATTCTCTTATCTAAAATTACAAAAAAATTTGCCATTGGTACAAAAGACAAAAGCTATTCATGAGCTTTTCAAGTCAAGCCTGTAAGATCTGTATAACAAATCTGAATTCAAACTTGAGCTTCTTTGTTTAGTTTAACAAACAAGTTTATTTGAACATTTAACAAGTGGAGCTTAAATACTTATTATCTTCATTCCTTAACATATGAAGGTGAATCACCTCCCTATATAAATCATAATATTTTAGAATCATTTAGTTCTATCTTTAACTACAACATCAACAGCCAAGCTTTTTCATATTAGGTTCAGCTACACGAATCAAACATCATAATCTTCTATTGTGAATCATGTTTATATACAAACCATTGACCTCTAAATCCTTATTAATGATTTCACATATTGTTTTTCCCGGTATCTTCTACCTCATAACAATAGGGTTATCTTTCCATCTTATCTACTTTCTTTATGAGGGCTTCTGAAGGTCTTTTATACACATGCCCAAACCAAAAAAGAATTTAGGAATGCTTTCAAAGTAAACAAATATAACCAACTCATCCTCCACTTCTAGTAATTTGAGCTAGTCTTTCTTGTTAGCAAATGCTCCATCTCTAGAGGTATATTGTGGCAAACTCCCTTTTTTTACAGTTTTTATTTTTTTAATCTTTGACTATATGTACAGTTTATGTTATATTGATGGTATTAGTCTACTGAGAAAACTGGTAACTTCTAAATGTTACTTTTGTCCTTGATAGAGATATTGATTTCCTGGGCTTCTTGGCCCAACACCTTCAACAAATTTAGCAAGCACAAAACAGTTCCAAGTCTCAAAAGTCGAGACAAACCAAAAAAAGCATCTCAAAATTGAAAATTAATTAAGGCCCAGGTCATGGGTCCCATATTTTATAAAAAGCATTATATGTTCAACACTAACGAACAAGCACATCAAAGCAAACTGCTTTTCATCTTTCCTCAACTACAAGCCTAATCGTATAAGGGACATTGAGAGGTATGGAAAGGAAATAGCTCCCTTTGTATTAAAATAAATATTTAGGCAAGGGCATTATCTGAGGAGAACCATTCCCCCTCTGAAAACTCATCTTTAATTCTCCAAATTTGGGGGTAAAACAGGATTGAAGGAGAATAGTTTAATTTTATTTTGAAAACAAACCTCATTTACTAATTTATGAGGTAAATTGAGTAGTTCCAAAAAGTTTTGGAATGGTTATATTGAAATTTTGCTCTTAAAATTGTAACTCTTTATCTCACTCAATCACTCTTACAAGTGTGAGCATGGGTACAGTAGTAAGGTTGTGGCCTAGAGGTCACAGTTTCAAACCCTAGAAACAGCCTATCAGCTTGCAAAGGTAAGGCTACAAACATATGCCCTCCACAGACCCCACTATGTGGGAGCCTCATGCACTGGGCCACCTTTTTTACCTCACACTTCCATTCCCCTTTAATAACTAAACATAGGAAGACAATTGCTTTCCATTCCTACCCTTCTCTCCCACTCCATTTTCATTTCATTCTTGAACATCCAACAACAGCCTAATATAAGAACAACTAAGATATCATGTGAAATACAAAGTACCTTTCAAATGCACGCCCTCTTTCAGGTAAAGAAAGACCAAGCACTGAGCCTGGCACCAGTGGTCCACTTTGGGTTTTACCAAGTTTCCCTGATTGAGTTTTAACTTTGCTTGTTCCCGCGTCCTTCTCTGAAGTAGATGGTGTTGCTTCAGCAACTGATCCATTTCTCTTCTCACTCTGTGGTATGTCACTACTACCTACTGGTGCCACGAACTCATCTTGTTGCAAGTTATTTGAATTCTTTTTGTCCATAATAAACTGGGAATCAGTTGTATCCTGTCATGACAAACAACAAAGATTTTAATAGATTATTTTTAAGATAAAGAAAGTTTAGAACAGTTGAACCAACCTTATAATAGCTAAAGAATTTGTTTTCATCTTCTTCCCTCATCTCTGCAATATCATCATCATCCTGCATCTAGTAAAATGGAAGACATTTGTTCAGATCAAAGAAAGAGAAAAACCAGATAAGTAAATACAATCTAAAAACACAAAAATACATACCAACGAAGCTTGAGCTTTCAAATCATCAACATCGAAGTTCCACGCACTAACTCCTCGCTGATATTCACTCTAGAAATTAAAATACATAGGTGGATTAGATTTTAATGGCTGTAAAACCAAAAATGGTTTTTATTTTCTGCATGAAACATATACATGATATTTGATGTTAACTGAGAAACTTCAAAATGCCAAGCTTCCACAAGAAAATGGTTGTCTCTGTCTCACTTGAAAACAATTTTTTCAGAATATGGACCAATTGTATATAATCTCTCATTTGTAGAGACTATAGACTGTTAGTAGAGTTTTGAATTAACACAGGCATTTCAGGTAAGAAAAACACTTCTATTTATTTGACAATAATTTTTTAGGTGTTTGGCTAAAATATGATAGGGATTTTAATCAAGGGAAAAAGCAGAAATTTTTCCAGGTCATTATAAATAATTGTATAAAATTGTCAGCTTTTATTTTATTTAATTAAAATTCATAATAAATAAATATTTTTGAATATATAAATTACAATTAAAATTCACAATTAATAAATATCTTTGAATAAATAAAGTATATTTTGGATTTACAATGAACAATTTAAATCATGATATAAGGTTAATTTTAACTATTGACAATTTCTTTAAAAAACTAATAAAATTTGATTCATAGGTATAGATAAAAAGGGATAGGTTGAAAGAGATGGGTGACTAAGAATATTAAGTATACAGATAAAAATAAAAGGGTTAAATGCGCAAGTTGCGAGTTAAATGCGTATCCAAAGGAGAGAATATTGGGATTGCCTAATTAAGAGATTGGGGAGAGCGAAAGCCACACTCTCCAAGTTGTATATTATAATTCTAATTTATAATATAAGAATAGATTGACAAATATTTAAGTAAGATCAACCAGAGGTCTACCAATTTAAGTAATGCACTGTGTCAATCAACCAGACTTGAATAAGCACTACAATCAAGGTTTCAAGTAGAGAAGGAAACCAGTACTAAGGAAAAGGGGTGGAGGGACAAATTTGTCTAACATCAGCCATTCGTGCAAATGCTCCTATGAACCATTGACTATACATAATACATCGCATTGTATGCAAAATAAAATTTGATTATCAGCCTTACTTGAGATATTGCTTCTTGTTCTGCAGAAGGCATTTTCTTTAGTGCCAGCTGAGCTGCATCTTTAAGCTGCAAGATTTATGTGATGTCAAGCAAAGGTTACAGATTGAGGGAATTATAGCGCAGGACACACTTAAGCATGCATGATATCAAACCTGGAGGGATTTTACACGGTTCCACAGAGGCGGTAAATCAGCAAATAATTTCTTTACAGAAAGCTCTGGAGGCTTAGCTTGCTTGAAGAAGGAGTGTTTGAGCAACTTCTCCACAGACGGCCTCTTTGTTTGATCTTTTACCAGGCACATGGCAACCATTTCCTTAAAAGACTGGTCACAACTGGAAATACTTTAATTAGACTGCTACTACTACCACTACTATAATTATAACTATTACTATCGCAAGAAACACACTATAATTTCAATACTCCCTCTTTTCTCTTTCAAGCCATGACCAGTAAATCAAATAAAACCATAAACAATGATGTATCCGTCCAGGCAGAAAGAACACCCATACCTTGGAGAACTTTCTGTCACGATCATAATCAAGCCCCGGGGGAGCATTCTGAATGGTCATTAGAAGAACCTATACACAACACAACACAACACAAACAATGAATCCCAAGCTCACCCGCACATTACAAACCACAAGAACCTAATACTCGAAAAAACACAACCATTCCGAAGACGACGCAGCTAGATACGATTACAACATACCTTCATAGGAGGATACTTGGAGAAAGGCGCGTGTCCATGAGCCAACTCCAACGCCGTAATTCCGAAAGACCAAATATCCGCCCTATCCAATATCCCAATCCAATCCAAACAAATCAGAAATCATACATGTAATCGAACTACCGGACAAAACTTAAATACTTTTAGTTTTAGTGTTAGTGTGGTCTCCAATTAAAATTGGAGTTTGATTTGACGTAGCTAATCTACAATCCATAATAAAGGTTAACGCGGTGGATAACGGCAGAAGCAGAAGAAAGAGCTAAGCTAGGGAATTGCATCTAGGTTGAATGGAGAAGAAAAAAGGGAAGGAGTGAGTAACTGACTTGAAATTATAACCGGTGCCAGGTTGCAGAACCTCGGGCGCCATCCAGCAGGGGGTGCCGACGAAGGTGTTCCTGGAGCGCTGGCGGTCGCCGGTGTCGAACATGCAAGCGGAGACGCCGAAGTCGGCGAGCTTGACCTGGCCGTTGGAATCGAGAAGAATATTGCCAGCCTTAACATCGCGGTGAATGTGGCCGTGTCGGTGGAGATAGTCGAGCGCCTTGAGAGTCTCCTTGAGGATAGATCCGATGGCGTCCTCCTCGAATCCCTCGGGATAGGCGGCCTTCATGAGGTGGAGGCAGGAGCCCTGCGCCATGAAGCCCATGACGACCCAGAGGCTCCTGTGGACGACGAAGGAGCAGAAGGCCTTGACGACGTTGGGGTGCTCGATGAGGCTCATGGTCTGCGCCTCCCTCCTTATGTCCTCCAGATTGCTGTTGCATCGATCCAGATCCAGACACTTGACCGCCACCTCCTCGTTGTATGGCAGGTAGATTCCGCGGTACACGGTGGCGCTCGCTCCGTACCCTACTTCTTCCAGAAGCTTGTAGTCGCTCGGGTTGGCCGAGTAGCTTCGGCTTCCCATTTTGACTTTGATTGACCACCCTCACCTCCCCCCGTTGACCACCATCACATGAGACTATGAGAGTTTTTTGTTTGGGTGAGCACTGAGCACCATCACTTGTTCCTCCTTCCTAGTTCCTCCTCCTACTCCTCCCCTTCGCTTCCCAATGCTTATGGGTCCCTCTTCCTCTTTTTTCACTTTTCACTTTTCACTTTTCACTTTTCACTTCCCTTCCCCTTATATATTCCATTTAAACTCTTACGTGAAAGTATTGTTTTCTTTAAAAATAATTTAGTCAATTAAAACATCTTTTGGTCCAAAGATTAACCACGTTACAAGGTGACAAAGTCAACATTTGATAAACAGCACTTATAATATACACTAATAAACATTATATTACACCTCAATAAAAATTAAATTAAATAAATAAATAAAAGTTAGTCTCACACGGGTCGAGTAAATAATTACTCATTACTTTGATGTTACTAACTTGAGATTTAAAGTGTATTTTATATATAATTACTCATTTTTCACAATGTATCAATTTTGTCAACTAACTCCCCTGCAAACGTCCTCAAATTTCATATCATTTCAAAATTTATTTTAATTAATATTCATTGGAGCTCCACTTTGATCACCTACCTACTTAAGGACACGTCATCACAATCTATCTTAAACGCATCGATTATAATTTATCATACAAAAATAAGTTTAAATTGTATCAATTTATGAGTATAAGTTGCTTATCCAAGGAGAATGAAATGACTTTAATGTATAAGTTACATATTTAAAAAGCAAAACACACACACACAAGATTTTATATGTAATAATATAATTAATATTTTTATATTATAAATATATGATATTAGATTATTTTAATTTAATAACATGCTAAATATTTTTTGATAAAAATTAATTTTAATCTCTCTAAAATTTTTCAAATTCACTTTTGATCTTCAAAAACTTTTATATTAAAATAAATAGTCCCTCTAAAATATTTCAAATTTGCTTTAGATTCTCCAAAAAAAATATTAAATTAGTCCATGTAAATGTAGAAAAAGCTAAATTTGATCTTCTTAAAAGATGCTAACTTTATTTTAATTAATTTTTTTATTAAAATATTAAGCGATGAATATAATTAGATTATTTTAATATTTTGTTAAAAATAAGATTTTCATGTCATCAATAATAGACATAACAAAAATATATTTTATTAATAAATGATTTTAAGCATGATAATAACTCACAAATATACAATTATTGTAATAATAACGCTATAAAAAAATATTTAAAAAAGTAAAAATAAAAATTGATTCGATAACAAGCTGTACGCTCTTCTCATTAGATTATTTTTTTTTTTCAAAAATATATTATTGACGAAAATTTCGTGTTTGTCTTTCATTGAATACGAAATCTTTCGGACAAGTAGTACTCACATTAGAAACAAAACTAGTTTATAGTTATTGAGAGATATTCGTAACTAGGAAAAAAAAAAGAAAAAAAAAAGAAATATATATATTTTACTCTTTCAATAATATGTTTTATTGTTCTGATAAAAAAAATATAGAAGTGTAATTTTCCACCCAAATTCAATTATTAATCAATTGGGTGTGTCTTTGTTAGTTAAGCTAAACAATATATTTTTTTTTATAAAGAAAATCATATAAAGTCTAATGTTTGTATTGACAAATAAATTAAAGAAACGATAATTGCATCAACCATTCATTTTATTATAATCATATTTGATGCATGTTTTTAACTAGATTCAAAATCATTCAACAATAATAATCCCAACCTTCTCTTCTATCCCAATTCTTATTATCCCAACTATGATATACACCATCCTCTCTTACAGAGTAATAGATGCGTTCATGGCCACCTTCTTGACTAGGATCATATATGGAGAACTCACTACACCTATGCCATTTTACTAGACCACTGTGGATATAGAAATTAAGCAATTTAGTGTAAGGATTTCCATGAGAGATTTCAATCTGATCTTTTTCGAAGTCACTCATGAAATATAATTTTGTTGAACTTGGAGGCAAGTCATTGGAAATGGAAATGAAAAGTATGTGGATATCAATTTGAAATTTTGAGCCATGTTGAATAGAGTTGGAATGAACGATGGGTGTAAGAGAATCAACAAACATTGAACTATTGAAACACGCTACAAGAGAAAGAAAAAGCGATAAAAGAATTGAAGTTGACATTTTGCTTGTATTTCTCTCACTTAGCATTCTATAATATAATATATATATATATATATATATATATATATATAAAGATAGATTCATTTATTTTAAGAATAAGTTTACTTACACTTATTTTATTTAATAAATTATATTTTATATCAAATTTTAACGATTCAATCGTTAAATTTAAAATTTGTAATGTACAGATCAAATCTGTAATTTTTTTAAAAAATTAAAAATTATTTGATATTTTGTTTTATTAATTCAAATC